CTGTAAAATTTGTTTACGATCGGTCCGTAATTGGTCGTAGCACCCATACAAGGTCTCCTTTCGAGAATCACTTAAACGCATAAAACTCTTTACGAAATAAAGATATCCATACAAAATTTGGCACAAATATTGCTTTTATCTACAGAAATCTTATTATATTTTTTTTAAGGTCGATCCATAATTGGTCATAGCTCCCATTTAAGGTCCCCTTTCGAGAATAACTTAAACGCATATTACTAATTACCAAATAATGATATCCATAAAAAATTTGGCATAAATATTTATTTTTGAATTTTGTCATACATATAGTACCACCCATTGGGATTAAAAAATTGATTATTTTTCGCAAAAAATTAAATAAAAACTGTCCAAAACGAGCAGGATTCGAACTTAAAATTTCCCAATTGCTAGTTGTATGCCATTCTCACTACACTATTAACTGGCTTCGTAATTGTTTGCAACTAATGTTCAGATAGAAATTCTCTTTCCTGTTTGTGTAAAAAATTGTTAACCCAAGATCAAATAAAATGTGCACATTGAGAAAGTGTAACTGTAAATTTCTTATGCTATTCAGCAACATCAGTGTTGATAAAAGTTATTCAGCAGCAATGTTTTGTACAAACAGAAAATAACATGGCATTTTTATATGAAAACAAGTAAGAAAGTATAGTCGGGCGTGGCCGACCATATGATACCCTACACCAGTTATGAATATTAAATGTGATTTATTTTTCATAATAAACCATTTATCTTCAATATTCCCTTGTTCCGATACATTTAAGCAATTTATGGATGAAAAACTAATTTTCTGAAAGAGGCTTTATATGGGGGCTAGGGGCAAATATGGACCAAGCCCGATAAAATTTTGTGAATATATTTATATTTACATAATATTTTATTGTGCTGAATTTCATCGCAATATTTGTGTTTATAAATTAATTTGGGACATTCAAGTAATTTTCTGAAGGGGACTTTGTATGGGAGCTAGGGTCAAATGGGGCCCGATCTTTATGAAATTTGGCAGGGTTATCAAGACTTCTATAAAACTTAGTTGTGCCGTATTTTATCGATATATCTGTATATTTAACATAATTATGAGCTCAGAAGCCCTTTTCGGGCGGTTCTGTTCTATGGGGGCTAGGTGAAATAATGGACCGATTTTAACCATTTTCAATAGGCTTCGTCCTTGGGTCAAATAAAACGTGCGTGCCAAATTTCATCCAATTATCTTGAAAATTGCGACCTGTAGCTTGCGCACAAGGTTTATATGGACAGCCAGCCAGCCAGCCAGCCAGACGGACGGACGGACGGACGGACGGACATAGCTTAATCGACTCAGAAAACGATTCTAAGCCGATTGGTATACTTTAAGGTGGGTCTAGGACGAATATTTTTATATGTTACAAACATCAGCACAAATCCAATATACCCTCCCCACTAAAGTGGTGTAGGGTATAAATATTAGTTAACGAAGGACAATATAATGAAGTGGTGTAGTGGATGGAACGGAGAATTAAAAATCTCAGCGTTGCCGGTTCGATTTATCTTTTTTTGTCATAAATAATTAATTTTTTTTAAAATCAAATTAAGTGTCGAAATTCGGTTCACGAATAAAAATTTAAAAGCATTTTTTTTTATTTTTTTGCATAGGATCAACAACGTTGAAAATCTATTGTACCTCCCGTACAAAATTATATAAGTTTTATATATACTATAGCATACTCAAATTATCTTAAATAAAAGTTTTCAAGTTTTTTTCCTAGACATAAATTATTTTTGACCCTGAAAGGGTTAAACACAGAACATGGGTTAAATTTAGTACGCTCTGTAACAGTCTGTTAAGTGGTAGTTTTGTTTTTAATTGCATATTCTAAAGCGTAATGAAAGTAAGTCTAAAATATTAAGGTAAATTTGAATCAATCCACAAAATTTGATAATTTATGAAACCAGTTAAAGGTGGAGGGTATTTATGATTCGGCAGAGACGAATATAGCACTCTAACTTGTTTTACTTTATTATTATTTTTGCTGCAGAAATATGCGTTTATTTTGTGAAAAAATAATAAATGTGTAGAGTGTATGTGACATTTGGTACCATTATTGTACTAGGTTTAATTCCTTCAACTGTAATATCTCTGTGGAGTTCCGAATTTAAAAAATGTTGGTATTTGTTGAACTTTTAATGATTACTTATTTCAGGATTATTCTATTAGTTTATCAACATTCCTTTTCATTTCAGTCCATTTTAAAATTCCGATAATGATTTTAACTGTCAAATATTGAAATATTGCTCGAAATTTGGCCCAAAAATCGGTTGATTATCATTATCAGTAGACGAATATAAAATTTTTCATCTCAAAATCTTCTCAAAATTTAATTTTTTAGCTAGCTTTTTGTACCCGGCGTTGCCCGGTATTTTAAGTGATCTATAATATTAAGTCTATAGATCAATATATGCAAATTAACATTGATTTTGCTTTTGACCCCTGAAATTAATATGGCGAAATTAAAATATACATTCAAAATATATAATTCAGAACAACTTTCACAAAATTTACCAAAAACACACATTTTCCTTCTTTTCAAAATTCTTTAGGCTTGAAAGGTAAAAAATCACCTTTAAAATTTTTAATTTCATAAAGTGCTAATAAAAAGAGTACAATTTTTCCCCTTTTCGCTTAGAAATATACTTTTTCGAGAATTAAATTTACAAAATGTTCCGTATTTAAATCTATATATCACAGATAAAACTCAAACGATTCAAATCTGCATTTATTTGTTCCTGAAAAATTTTCCCGTTTTTCCCCTTTTTGGTACTTTTTTTCTCCAGTGACATAGCAAAAATGTTGTTTCAATAAATATTACAGTGTTAGTCCGTAATTTAATAGGAATACTTCAATAAATCGAAAAAGTTTTCTTAATGTTCAAAAAAAGTACCAAAAATACAGTTTTCTCCCTTTTACACACAAAAGGGACTGAATTTTAAACAAGTGAGAGTGTTACATTCGGCTGTGCCTCATATACCCACCATCAAACAATATGCCGTAAAAGGAATGCTCCCATATGCCGTAAAAGGAATGCTCCCATATATATATATATATATATATATAAGCCATATTTGGAATATATGCCGTAAAAGGAATGCTCCCATATGCCGTAAAAGGAATGCTCCCATATATACATATATAAGCCATATTTGGAATATGGCTTAAGTCAATTATGGACCGAGCTCTTTTGAACTAACAAAATATTAATTTTTAAATACAATATATTTTTGTTCAATTTTTAAACCGTGAGCGTATGAGTAATTTTCTGAAGAGGACCTTTATATGCGTCAATTATGAACCGATACTCATAAAATTTTGTACATAGGTTCCGTTTTGTATAGAACTTGTTTATGTCAAATTTCATCGTAATACTCGTATTTTAAATAAGGAAAACTTGTATTTTAATAGCCAAAGCTCTTTCCTGAAAGGAACCTTTGATAGGGGCTAGGGTCAGTTATAGATCAGTCCTCATTATATTCGGAATGAAGAATTATGTTCCTAAGTATATACTTTTTTATGTCGATTTTCATAGCTGTACTAGTAATTTTCTGAATCTTCCCCATAAAATTTTTAAAGAGGACCTTATATAAGGGGTATTTTCAATTATTGATCTATCCTCATAACTTTTTGTAGACCGATTTTGGTTCATATAAAACTTGTTTACTTGAATATCCTCGATGTACTCGCATTTGTATGCCAGTAATTAGCGTTAATGTAATTTTCTAAAGGGAGCTTATATGCGGGGTAGGGTGAATTACCGCTACATTCCGCATGAAATTCGGTAGCAAGATTAACGTTCGTATTAAGTTTCTTATGTCGAATTTCATAACCGTATTTCATAACTCATATTTTTAAGCCCGCAAAGATCCTTTAAGTAATTAAGAACGATCCACATACAATTTGTAAGAGAGATTTTGGCTCGCGAGGAACTTACTTGTGTCAAATTTTATCGCTATACTCGTATTTATACCCTACACCACTATAGTGGGGAGGGTATTATACGTTTGTTCTGATGTTTGTAACGCATAAAAATATTGGTCCTACACCCACCTTAAAGAGTACGGATCGCCTCAGAATCACTTTCTGATTCGATTAAGACATGTCCGTCCGTCCGTCTGGCTGTCTATGTAAATCTTGTGCGCAAGCTACAGGCCAACAATTTTCAAGATATTTTGATAAAATTTTGACCATAAGAGTTTTTTGCTACAAGGACGATGCCTATTGAAAATAGTTGAAAGCGGTCCGTTATTTCACCTAGCCCCCATACAATTTACCTTTCAATTTAGGGTTTCTAATTCATAACTACGTCAAATATACTACTATCTCACCAAAAATAGGCACAACTTAGTTTTATATAGACATAAATGACTGTGCAAATTTTTATAAAGATCAGTTCCCAATTTGTTGAGGATCGGCCTATATTTGATCCTAACTCCCATATAAAGCCTCTTCTAGAAATTTAGTTTTTCATCAATAAGTTGCTTAAATACACCGGAATTAAGGTAAAATTCAACATAAACGTTTCTTTATTTAAAATAAATAATTTTCAAAATATACCCATGGTTTAGGGTATCATATAGTCGGCCATGTCCTACTATACTTTCCTACTTGTTTTTAACCAGTAATGAACGTTAAAGTCATTTTCTGAAGGGGACCTTGTATGATCAGTTATGGACCGATCCCCACTAAATTCGGTAGAGAGATTTGGGCTCGCACAAAATTTATGTGTGTTGAATTTCGTCACCATATTCATATTTTTAAGCCATTAATGAGTGTTTTTACGGGTTAGAAAGGATAGGGTATAGATTAGTCTTAAGTAGCGTGTAAGTAAATAAAACTCTTTTCTTTTTTTTTCACAAATGTTATAAATTTATTGAACTCTAACGGGTAAGTATTTAATATATAGAGTAAGTATTTAATATATAGGGTAATATTTTAATATATTTAAGGTAAGTACATATATTTAACAAATTTTAGGTTAATGTTAACGTATTTATTTTATTTTCAATTCTTTTTAGGCTTAAGGGTTTTAATTTAGGTTTAGGGTTTTATTATATTGTTTAATGTTTTTAACTGTGATATTCACTGTGATAGTTAAGAATTTTATTTTAGGGTTTTAATATTTATTCTTAGGTTTAGGGTTTTAACACAAGTTATATATTTTACCACTAGTTTTAAGCTTTAGCACTAGGTTTAGGTTTTATAATTTATTTATTTAAAAGGCACTTTGAGTTTTCACTGTCTGTTGTAGGGGTTGTTGTTTTATTTGTTTTGTTGTAGCGCTCACACACTTGTTGTTACTTGCAAAATTATATTTGAAGTGACGATAATAAAGCTGCAGCTAACTTTAGTGTGTCTAAGCTGAAGTTGGCTGCAGTTAAGAGGTGGGTGTTGTTTGACGTCAGGGATGGGTGTTTTGTTCATTGAAATGAACATCCTCCCGGGCCTGGCAACCTGTGAAGAAAAAGAACAATTATTTTCATTTGTTCAACATTGGGTTAGAGAAAGTAAGGGTAATTTATAGTAAAATACTTTATTATATTTTTAATTGGTAAGGGATCCCATAACTAGCCAACCCAGGGTTGAATCCTGGGCTATCAGTGAGCCGCCATCAATATGGATCGTGTTTGGCTGTAAAATGGTGGTATACAAATCACCACCTATTTCCATGGCTACGGGTGCATTGGCATAAAATTCTGGGTCGACCAGAGAAATTCGGCAGAACTTCCCTTTTATAGCTGGGTCCAAACCATGAGCGTAAGGGGTTCTTGGCAGGTCATTTGAAACCTGCATGCACACCTCATATTGTATTTTGGAGGCCATATTAGGTGATATTATGACCTTCACGTAAACACTTTCATCCACTTTAAACGGGTTTAGTGTTGATTCGCGCACAAACGCTACGCCTATTTTTGAGGTCGTTAGGCTCGGGTTTAAGACAGCTCTAACGAGTTGTTTCGATTTGTCTGTCACAATCTGAACTACAACCGTGGGTACAATGGTTTGGGTTCGGGACGTTGGCAAAATGGTTGCTACAATTGGCATCACAATAGTTCGTGGCGCAGGAATCGGAGCAATAGTCCTTTTTGCTACGGGCGGTGGAGACTGTTCCTTTGGCAAATCTTTCAGGATCCGATCTGGGCCGTGCAGGGTGGTGTGATGTTTACCCTTGCACTTTTGGCATCGGGATCTATTTGAACATTTTCCGATTAGGTGATTCCTGGCCAGACAATTGACGCAGTAGTGCAATTTAACTGCGGTTTTGTACTTCTCCGCCAAGTTCATCTTTTTAAACTTTTTACAGTTTGTTAAGCTGTGATCAGCTTGACAAATACCGCAACCAAAGTGGCGTTTTGGTTGACGCTTATCGTTTTTGCGTTGGTTGGTTTTGGGTCGAGATCCATTGCGGTCGGAACGTCCTTTACGATTGTTGTTGTTGGGTGCCATATTCTGTATAAAAGAAATTATGTGTGAATGAATGAAGGGTAATGAATGTGTTAGTGGGTTAGAGCGTGAGGGTGAAGGGTTAGTGATGACTAGTAGTTACAAGTGGATAAGTGTGTTAAATGGGTTAAAAAGGGTAAGTAAACAACTTAATGTTATTTGGGTTATACTAGAATGTTAAACTAGCTAGTGGGTAAAATGACAACTTTTGTTATTGGTCGAGTTAACGTTCCGGATGACGTCCGTATATCGACTACTCTGTTTTGTCCATCAGAGCCAGTGTATGTTTTAATGACTCGACCGAGTAACCATTCGTTTGGAGGTAAATTGTCCTGTCTGATAATAACAATGTCATCTGTTTCAACTTGACGTTGAGGGTTTTTCCACTTGTATCTCTTATGGAGCTCTTTAAGATATTCATCTTTCCATCTTCTACAAAAGTTATGATGTTGAATCTTTAACTTTTGCCATCTGTTTGCCAGGGTTATATTTTCATTGCTTACATCGGGTTCTGCTGGGGTTAAAATGGGTGATCCAATTAAAAAGTGTCCTGGAGTTAAAGGGTTAAGATCCTGTGGGTTCTCGCTTGACGGGCTTAAGGGTCTTGAATTCAGGCATCCTTCTATTCTCGCGAGGAGTGTGGCTAGCTCTTCAAAAGTGTACTTCAGGGTATTCATTTTCTTTAGATGAGCCTTAAAGCTTTTCACTCCCGCTTCCCATAAACCACCCATATGTGGTGCTCCTGGGGGTATGAAATGCCACGTCAAATTTTGAAAACTGCTAGTGGATGTAATGGAACCTTTCAATTGCTTGATGAATTCCTGTCGCTCTTTCTTCAATAGCTTGCTAGCTCCAATGAAATTTGTCCCATTGTCAGAGTAAATAGCGACAGGGCATCCCCGCCTCGAAAAAAATCGAGCAAAGGCTGCCATAAAGGCTTGGGTAGACAAATCAGATGTTGGCTCCAAGTGAATAGCTTTGTTGGCTCCAAGTGAATAGCTTTTATATTTGCGGAATCTAAAAATGGCGTTAGGACGAGCAGGTTACTTTTATTGGGTATAGGGTTTCTTTTCTTCAGGCAGTTATATTCGTTTCTAAAATATTCAGTCTGACAAAGAATAATTAGTCTATCACGGGTAGATTTGATCTCTGACGCATCCAGTTCAATACTTGGGTGGGTAGTTAATAAACGTAGTCTTTCTTTGACTAGTTTTGGGTTATTTTGATCAAGAATAATTCTATCATTTCGAATAGTATTGTTCCGTTTATACGATGCGCGATCACAAAATCGATAGACATATGTCATTACTCTTAGAACTTTTGACAATTTCGAAAATCTTGATAATATATCTGGGTTTTCAGTATTCGTATTAACCAAGGAAGGGTGGGTATTAACGGTCGTAGTAAACGACTGACTAACTTTAGCTTCAGCTTGAGTAATAAAGTGTTTATTTGTTGTTGGCCACTTCGACGCGACTTCTTTCAACCACGATGGTCCATTCTACCATAAAGTGTCATCTTTTAACTCATCAGCATTACATCCTCGGCTAGCAACATCGGCAGGATTATCGTGTGAAGCAACATGGTTCCAATTTTCAACGCCGACAGTCTGGATTATTGTAGAAACTCGGTTTGCTACAAATGTGTTCCACGAGTTAGGGTGTTTACTAAGCCAGGCCAAAACTATAGATGAGTCGGTCCAGAAATACGTCTGATGTAAGGGTAGGTTGAGTTGGGTGAGTAAATTATGTGTCATATTTGCCAACAACACTGCACCACAAAGTTCAAGTTTTGGTAACGAGATTACTTTGATTGGCGCAACTCTCGTCTTAGCGAAGAGTAGGGTTACGGAATTAGGTCCGTCTATGGGTTTTACTCGTGCATACAGACATGCAGAGTATGCTTTTTCAGAAGCATCTGAAAAACCATGAAACTCAATTTTTGCTGAAGGTGAAAAGTTAATCCATCTTGGAATACGAATTCTATTAATATTATCGTAGAACTGCAAAAACTTTTGCCATTTTATAAGGGTGAGTGGGTTAAGACATTCATCCCAAGCTGTATTATCTTGCCAAATTTGCTGCATAATAATCTTGGCAGATATAACAATTGGCGCTAACCAACCAGCTGGGTCAAAAAGACGAGCAATGTCTGATAACACAGTTCGCTTTGTGTATGCTGATTTTCTTTCAATTAAGGGTACATTAAAGAAAAACGTATCTTCTTTAGCATTCCATCGGATTCCTAATGTTTTGGCATTATTCGATTCTGGTTGAGTAAATCCACATCAAGTAGGTGATCTTCGGGTAAATCTTTCAACAATTCCCTCGTATTTGAGATCCATTTTCTTAAAGGAAAACCAGCAGAGTCAAGCGCCGCGATCAGTTGGGTTTGGCCTTCTTTAGCTTCTTCAATGGTGTGTCTCCGGCTAATACATCGTCTACATACATATTATTTCGCAGCGTTTGCGAAGCGATAGGGTGGGTATTTTGAATGTCTTTGGCTAATTCGTGTAGTGTTCTAATAGCCAAGTATGGCGCACAGTTAACACCAAATGTAACTGTTTGCAGTTCATAATCTTGAATGGGTTCGTTGACGCTTTTACGGAATAATATTCGTTGGAAGGGTGTATGGATAGGGTTTAGCATGATTTGCCGGTACATTTTTGTAATGTCGGCATTATAAACTATCTTATAAAAGCGCCATTTCAAGATAAGTACAACTAAATCTTGTTGTAGGGTAGGACCAGTGTATAGGGTATCATTAAGGCTGTTGCCGTTCGAGGTTTTGCTCGATGCATTAAAAACAACTCGAACTTTTGTCGTAACACGATCAAGTTTAACAACAGCATGATGGGGTAAATAATAATGGGTATTTGAAGGTGTGTTTGGGTTATATTTTATATGTTTCATATGACCTAATTCGATATACTCTTGTAGCACGTTATCATATTCCATTTTAAGCTCTGGCTTTTTCATTAAACTTTTCTTGTTTCGTAGAAATTGAGCCATAGCAACGTGTCTAGAGTTTCCTAACTCAACAGGAGGGTATATAAATGGAAGGTTAACTTGATAATGGCCATTCGGTAATCGACGGGTAGTGGTCATGAAAGTTTCTTCACATAAAGAACTTTCCTCTGAAACTTTGGGTTGGGTGGGTATATCTTCAATCTCCCAGAATTTGGTCAAAACTTTATCAAGCGTGACTGAACTGAAGTATGAAACTAAGGGTTGAGTATTGTTTGTGTTCTGAATGGGTCCGGTTAAAATCCAGCCAAACTCAGTTTCCTGAGCTATTAGGGTATTGAGAAGATCTTTCCGTACTCCAGATTTCAATATTTGAGGGTAAAAATCGCTGCCAATTATAAAGTCTATAGGTATGCTTTCATAGAACTTTTGGTCAGCTAATTGAATATCTTCCAAGTCTTTTATTAGGGTTGGGTTTAAACTTTGGGTGGGTAAATTTTTTGTAAGTGTTTTCACTACAATTGCTTGGATATTCAATTTGAAATTATTATGGGTATTCGAGCGTAGAGAAACTTGACACAGTTTAGTTGATCTTGCAGAAACTATCTCATTTAATCCAGAAATTTCTGCAACTATGGGTGTAGTGGGTAAATGTAACTTTCTTCTTAGTTTATCTGTTATAAATGAGAAATCTGAAGCTGGGTCAATAAGCGCTCTAGCTGTTCCTAATAACTTCGTTCTGTCATCTATGGGTGTGGTTTTGCTTGATTGGGTGTGGGTTGAGAAAGACTGAACTGTATTTGACGATGAAGATTATCTTCATTATGTGGGTTTATCCTCGAATTTGGTCGGTGCAATAGACTATTATGTCGTCCACCGCAATATCTACATATGAAGGTACTGCGACAAGCTTGTATGACATGACCGACGGCTAAACAATTGTAACATATTTCATGTTTCTTTACAAACTTAATTCTCTCGTTTATTCCAAGAGAATTGAATGACGAACCTTCCCTCAAAGTATGGTTTTCGCTGCAAAGCTTGCAAATAGAACCATCATGTTTAATTTGGGTGCTTGGGATGTTTGATTGGGTTGAAGGGAGGAATTTTTGTTCGGTTTTACGTTTGTTTTGGGTGGGTGGGTTGTGTGTGGGTGGGTTTTTTATGGGTTTTGGTTGATTTTTTGGGTTTTTCCCATTCGAATCATTTGTTACGTTATGAAATGTTTTGCCTTTTCTGTAATATTGTGTTCTAACATCTTGGAATTGTTTGGGTTTAGGGTGGGTAGGGTTAATACTATGGTCCTGGACATCATTAACCGAAGTTAGTTCCTTAAATGTGTTAGTCAAAAATACATCTAAGTCAGTCCAAGAAGGCATCTCTGCACAATCTGGAAGAGATTTCTCAAATTCTCTTCGGGTTTCTCTGGGTAATTTCGATGTGCATAAATATACTAAGATAGGATCCCACTGATCCGTATCTATGTCTAAAGAGTTCAGATTTGCAATACAACAATTTATCTTTCTCTAAAGCTTACTAAGGGTAAATTCAATAGGGTTTTTAATTGCGCGTTAATTTGCATCCTACGATTCTCATACTGAGAAGCTAATTGATTCTACGCAATAAGAAAGCCATCATTTGTTAAGGGTGCATTGTCTACTATTTCTTTGGCTTCGCCGCTTGTTTTTTGTTTAAGATGGAAAAGTTTTTCAACTCCACTTAAACGGGTATTATTGCCATAAATGGCCTTGAAAAGATCCCTAAACGAAGCCCAGCTTTTGAAATCTCCGCTGAACGTTGGCATATCACAAGGGGGTACCAGATTCCGATTCGCAAAAAGCTGGACATCGGGTTTTAAAAAGCTGGACAAAACAAAAAAAGCTGGACATAAAAAAATACCGAGAAAATGTAAATTTTGGTTTTGTGTAAATAATTTCACAGTGATACACCAAAAAAATGCAGGGGTTCTCATATACCAATTCCGTTTTGTTATAGTCCATATAGTACGAATATATTTTTAGTTTTCCCCGATCACTTCGTTAACTTAGTTTTTAAGAGCAAAAGATGTGAAAAAGCTCCATTTTTGAAGTTTTAAATTTTAAAAATCATAAGTACGTAAGCTGTACGTAAAGAAATTGGCTATCGCTCGCAATAATATGTCTTTTCGCGTACTTTCCTGTAAGAAATATCCAGTAACTTTATGATAGAGAGCCAATTTTTTAAAAAAATGTGCAAGTTTTTGTTTATAAACAAAGATTAGTATTGCCCTTTTGCTGAAATCTCAAAAAAACAAATAAATGAAACTTTGATTTTTCTTATAAATAAATGGATATTTAAAGTTAACAAAATATGTAGTATCATTAAAAATATATTATTGTTTTAAAACTTTATGATACAAAGATATTATTAAAATAAAAATTTACACAAAATCGCTAAGAGAAAGACAAACTAAATTGGTTTAAAAACGCCAGATTGACAATATTTGTTATGATTTTTCACAACAAATAAACTCTTTTAAAAACTAATTTATGATAAATAAAATTAAAATAAATCTAATTACAAATAATTTTTTAATATTCGTGTGTTATTAATTTATATATTTCTTTCAAAAAATTTAAAATTTACCAAATTTTCGATTTCTTTGGTTTGTTTACATATTCATAAAACAAACATATGTTGTGAATATAAGTTGGATATTTTTTACTGGGGAAAAAATATCCAGTAAAATCAAAAAATTCTCTATCAACGAACTGTTAATAATTCGCTCGAACGCGAAACCAATAACAATTGTTGCAAATTGTTACAAATTATCGAGTACGCGAACAGACCTAATATTTATTACGACATCAGCTGTTCAAGTGTTGAGACATGATGATAGAAGAGGGAAATCATAACTTAGTTGTATAACAAATGTACAATCAGTGTTGGCTAACATGATTTGACAAAGATAACATAAAAACAAGTAAGAAAGTATAGTCGGGCGTGGCCGACCATATGATACCCTACACCAGTTATGAATATTAAATGTGATTTATTTTTCATAGTAAAGCATTTATCTTCAATATTCCCTTGTTCCGATGCATTTAAGCAATTTATGGATGAAAAACTAATTTTCTGAAAGAGGCTTTATATGGGGGCTAGGGGCAAATATGGACCAAGCCCGATAAAATTTTATGAATATATTTATATTTACATAATATTTTATTGTGCTGAATTTCATCGCGATATTTGTGTTTATAAGTTAATTTGGGACATTCAAGTAATTTTCTGAAGGGGACTTTGTATGGGAGCTAGGGTCAAATGGGGCCCGATCTTTATGAAATTTGGCAGGGTTATCAAGACTTCTATAAAACTTAGTTGTGCCGTATTTTATCGATATATCTGTATATTTAACATAATTATGAGCTCAGAAGCCCTTTTCGGGCGGTTCTGTTCTATGGGGGCTAGGTGAAATAATGGACCGATTTTAACCATTTTCAATAGGCTTCGTCCTTGGGTCAAATAAAACGTGCGTGCCAATTATCCATCCAATTATCTTGAAAATTGCGACCTGTAGCTTGCGCACAAGGTTTACATGGACAGCCAGCCAGACGGACGGACGGACGGACATAGCTTAATCGACTCAGAAAACGATTCTAAGCCGATTGGTATACTTTAAGATGGGTCTAGGACGAATATTTTTATATGTTACAAACATCAGCACAAATCCAATATACCCTCCCCACTAAAGTGGTGTAGGGTATAATTATTGCAGTGTGTTAAAAAAATTCTATTTAGCTGGACAAATTAAATGTTAGCTTGAAACTGGACAAGCATCAAAAAAGCTGGACAATCCAGCCAAGTCCAGCCAGGCTGGCAACCCTAGGGTACAGTGAAACCTGCAGAACTGCTGGGTTGTGGGGGTTCGGGTAAAGATGGTCGGGTTTCATTTTCCTTAGTCATCTCCTCAATCGATTCTTCAATCGAAATCATGCTTGACCTATAAAATCCTTTAGCAGATCTGACTTGCCTAACAACTTCGCTTAAATTTATGGCTTCGGCCTTCTTCGGGTTAAGAATATCGGCAGATTCTCTAATTTGGGTGAATTTACGGTCAATTTTAGCCCATAATTCACTTAATTCCCGTTTTTGGAATTTAAGAGCGGGTAGAGATCGGAAACTTTCCGGGGTAGCGCGATAATCTTCATCAAACGACTCGGAAAAAAAAAATTCACAAAAAGAGAATTCTCAAAAAATATATATTTCTATAAAGAAATTTTTAAAAAATTGAAAAAAGTGTGAGTTTTTTGCTTTAGCTGTTCCAAAAAATTACTTTTGTTCCAGCTGACAAAATTTCCAATTGGGTATTAAATCGTTAATGTGTGCGCAAATTAACTTAATATGCAATATAAGTTCCTTAGAAGCAATATAAAAAATATTTTAAATTTTTTTATATAAAGGGTTAAATATTTTGAAAGGGGTGGGTTTAAAATGAAAAATATTTTATATATAATATTGCTGAAAAGTAATGGAACAAATTTGCAAAAGAAATTGGAAATAAAAAATTTTGCATAAATAGCAAAAATTTCGACTCACTTTTTTGCTGGGGGTAGGGTACAAACCACAATAATATAAAAAACAAGTAAGAAATTATAGTCGGGCGAGGCCGACCATATAATACCCTACACCTTTGACAAAAATATAATGTGATTTAGTTGCCATAATAAAGCAATTAAGTTGAATTGTACCTTGCCTTAAATATACATACTTAAGCCGTTTATTGTTGAATAAAATTGTGAATTTTGATGGGGGATTTTCATAGGGGCTAGAGTCATATGAGAACCTATTATTATGGAATTCGTGCGGGTCATCAAGTCTTGTATACAACTTGGATTTTGCAGCTTTTTGTCGAGAAATGAGTATATTAAACATAATTATGAACTTAAAAGCCCTATTCGGCGGGTTCAGTTGTATGGGGGCTAGGTGAAATAATGGACCGATCTTAACCATTTTCAATAGGCTTCGTCTACGATACCATAAAAGATCATGTGCGAAATTTCAATGAATTATCTCCAAAATTGCTACCTGTAGTTTGATTACAAGGTTTAAAAGCCCTATTCGGGGGTTCAGTTGTATGAGGGCTAGGTGAAATTATGGACCGATTTTAACCATTTTCAATAGGCTTCGTCTGCGATACAATAAAAGATCATGTGAAAATGATTCTGAGCCGATTGGTATACTTTAAGGTGGGTATAGGACCAATATTATTGTGCGTTACAAACATCAGCACAAACCCAATATACCCTCCCCACTAAAGTGGTGTAGGGTATAATAATAAAAAAAATTCCTTGTGTTGTCGATTCCTCTTTGTGTCGTCTTCCCGCTATGATGCGTGTTGATAATATGGGAAGTGTTGTTGTTGTAATTGTCGACGGTCGCTGTATGTACTTTGTGTGTATATATTTTAATGTGGTTTTTATACCCTACACCACTTTAGTGGGGAGGGTATATTGGATTTGTGCTGATGTTTGTAACATACAAAAATATTCGTCCTAGACCCACCTTAAAGTATACCAATCGGCTTAGAATCGTTTTCTGAGTCGATTAAGCTATGTCCGTCCGTCCGTCTGGCTGGCTGGCTGTCCATGTAAACCTTGTGCGCAAGGTACAGGTCGCCATTTTCAGGATAATTGGATGAAATTTGGCACGCACGTTTTATTTGACCCAAGGACGAAGCCTATTGAAAATGGTTAAAATCGGTCCATTATTTCACTTAGCCCCCATAGAACAGAACCCCCCGAAAAGGGCTTCTGAGCTCATAATTATGTTAAATATACAGATATATCGATAAAATACGGCACAACTAAGTTTTATAGAAGTCTTGATGACCCTGCCAAATTTCATAAAGATCAGGCCCCATTGGACCCTAGCTCCCATACAAAGTCCCCTTCAGAAAATTACTTGAATGTCCCAAATTAGCTTATAAACACAAATATCGCGATGAAATTCAGCACAATAAAACATTATGTAAATATAAATATATTCACAAAATTTTTAGCGGGCTTGGTCCATATTTGCCCCTAGCCCCCATATAAAGCCTCTTTCAGAAAATTAGTTTTTCATCCATAAATTGCTTAAATGTATCGGAACAAGGGAATATTGAAGATAAATGGTTTATTATGAAAAATAAATTACATTTAATATTCATAACTGGTGTAGGGTATCATATGGTCGGCCACGCCCGACTATACTTTCTTACTTGTTTATATTTGGATAATTTTGTAATATTTTGTTACTATGTATTGTGTTAATAATTTTTGTTCAATAAAATGTAAGTATGTAAATGTATGTATATAAATAAGGGTTAATTTGTATTTTTTGGGTATTGTTTTTTGTTCACAATTTTTGTTTAAATATTTTAATAATGTTGTGTTGTATTTTTGTGCACTTTTTTGTTGTTGTTCTTGTGTGTTATTATTTAATTTATCTGTAAACAATAATTGTTATACCCTACACCACTTTAGTGGGGAGGGTATATTGGGTTTGTGCTGATGTTTGTAACGCACAATAATATTGGTCCTACACCCACCTTAAAGTATACCAATCGGCTCAGAATCATTTTCTGAGTCGATTTAGCTATGTCCGTCCGTCTGTCCGTCCGTCTGTCCGTCCGTCTGTCCGTCCGTCCGTCCGTCCGTCCATGTAAACCTTGTAATCAAACTACAGGTCGCAATTTTGAAGATAATTCAATGAAATTTGGTACGTGATCTTCTATTGTCCCAGGGACGAAGCCTATTGAAAATGGTTAAGATCGGTCTATTATTTCACCTAGCCCCCATACAACTGAACCCCTCGAATAGGGCTTTTAAAACTTGTAATCAAACTACAGGTCGCAATTTCGGAGATAATTCAATG